CTGTAGAGCTACATTTCTATTGCCTTCCGTCTTTTCATCTGTGAGAAAATTGTCTGGAATTCACTGTCATATAGGAGAATTATATTACATTTCAGCACACTCTCATTTGTTTCTAAAAAAATTTTTCTCGTTTCCTAGTATTTTTCTTCGCTTTTTGAAGTCATCTTTTACTCTTACATTAGGTGTTCGAATTTCGGTGTCACATTTTCCATCCTCTGTTAAAACACTTTCTTGATATATATATATATACTTTTTTTTATACTTGTCTGATGTTGACATGTATAATTCATCGTCCACATCTTGGGATTTTATTCTTGCTGACAATCATCTATTCTGTTTAAATTTGATAGTTAGTCCTTTGATCGCGCTTTCCTTTTATAGGAGGGCCTTGGTTTTCCTTCTGTGTCTGACATTATCAAAATGCAAACTGCATATGTTATTTACGCTATTTACATTGTTCGGGCTGTTGTCCTCATTTTTAATGTCAGCAAAGATGAGAACAACAGCCCGAACAATGTAAATACTTATACCTCATCTTAGAAATATAGACATGTGCATATCTTATATTATTAAGACTACGGTGATCGTTAATAAACTCCTGATAAATCCGGCGAGAAGATACATCCTTGTCTTAGGCACCTTTCTATTTTTCTGTACCTATTCAAAATATGAAATAAAACTGACTGTATCATTTCTCCTATTTTAACTAATACAATCGATTCTATTTTCCCGGGCTAGTCCGATGTTCTGACATTCAAACAAAAGCTGTTGGGAATGGTATAAATCTACTTTGGTTAAATATCAGGGTAGACTGGTTCTGTAATCTGGGGTTTTAACAAATATAAGAGGAGAAGGAAAACTTTGACTTTCATACCATGAATAAGACAAGGTGATATCCCACAAATATATATTCTTCGGATTTGCACTTAAAAAAAAATCACTCCAAGCAAGGCAATAAAGCCACTAGGATGTTGGGTTACTGAGTGTTAGCGAATATTGGAAAAAAACTACTTATTAAGGAGAGAGGAGAATAAAAGAATACGAATTAGGAAGACATAAGATAAGGATTGACAATTTTAATTTTTGAAGATCAAAGTCTACTTGAAATCAAGAAGCCGGAGAAAAGTTCCACAAGTGAGAAGTGCGATAGAATGAACTCTTAGCATAGAACTTTCGGTTACATCTAACCATTTCAACTGTAAAATGACGACCTCGCATCCAATCTACACTTAAATTCATAAAGTCTAGACACCAAAGCAGAATAATAAATAATTTAATAAAATGAATGAAACTTGTGGCCGTGTATTGACTAATCATATAAATCTGACTTCTTTCTTCTCGACCTTCTTTGACTTTCTGAACTATTCTCTCTCTCTCTCTCCCTCTCTTTCACTCTCTCTCTCCCTCTCTCTCCCTTCTCTCTCCCCTCCCTCTCGCTCCGTCTCTCCCCCTCTCTCTCCCTATCTCCCTATCTCTCCCCTCCCCTCCCTCTATCTCCCCCTCCCCTCTCTCTCCCTCTCTCTCTCTGTGAAAAAGTCAATGTAATATCTGACAGACATGTTTTTTTGTATTTGAACAATTTTTGTTTTTAATCAGTTTCACCCCATGCAAAGCAGTAAAGCCACTAAGCCACAAGGGCTTACAGGGTTTAGAAGAACAGAAACATTACTAATGAGCGGGAATACAAATAAAGTTATAATTTTTTAAAGTGCACATGAACTTTATGGACACTCTGTATATATATATATATATATATATATATATATATATATATATATATATATATATAATATTATATATATTATTAATTTTATATATACAATTCAATAAAGTAAAATTTAGCTATTCTTAACAAATTATTAATAAAATAATATAATTTACAATAATATAATATTGTAATTTAATAATCAAACGTAATATTTTATGTTGGACACGCTTACATATCATATTTAAATATAACGTTTTATCATATTTTAATTAGCTTTTCTTTATTTGATCGTCAAAAAACAGTTGACTCCTCGTAAAAGTCAAATCAATTCGTACATTGACCTGTTAACCAGTGCGAACAAATACGTTCTTTATTCCTTATCAAGAGACCAATTTTCTTATTTTCGTTGAGAAAACTATTTGCTTTATTCAGTTCAATGGAGATGACTCACCTTCGAGTATCTTCGGCTACACTGAAGACGATCGTGTCGTCATGGCGTCAGACACCCACTCATTTTGCAAGGGGAGTTTTAACGACTTCTATGAATTTCCAACAGCGTTGGTACTGCTAAAATTATTGCTGTTGTTGCTGTCGTTGCTGTTGTTGTTGTTGTTGTTGTTGTTGCTGTTGTTATTATTATTATTATTATTATTATTATTAAGTCATTTCACTTCAAGCAAGACAATAAAGCTACTCAGATGAGGTGGGGCGGATTTCTGAATGTGAAAGAATATGAGACAATGAAAAAAGATTAAGGAGGGAGAACAATAAAAGAATAAGTATTAAGAAGACAGAAAACAGATTTACTATTATTGGTAGTAGTAGTAGTATTAGTATTAGTAGTAGTAGTCGTATTGTAGCGAAAAGCACCTGTTAAAATGCATCCATAATACAATATTTCGAAACATGACATTGTTGGACAAGAATTCGAATAATGACTCGGGAAAAGAGACAATGGAATTTGTAGTTATAGAAATTGGTAAAATTCCGGTTTCATACGCGTTTAGGAAAGCCTGAAATCGTCTTTGAAGAATTAAATACGACTTTCTAACTGTCTAATTGGAATTTACAGATTTTTTTTAAAAATTACATCTGGCCGTTTTTCATTTATTTAAACTTTTTAATTATTTAAACTTTTTAATTATTTAATTATTTAACTTACTTAATTATTTAAACTATTTGAACTAGTTTACATTCTTTCCCCAACCAACGTGGAACTTTTAAAGAAATATAGGGTCAGTAAGGGGACGATGGGAATTTGGTTGGGGGGCAGAAAACGAGGAAAGAATGCCTAGCAAATTTAACATGCAGGACATATTGAAAGAAAGGAAAGCAAAGGAAACACTATGTACGAGAGAATGACGGAGATGGAGAGGGGGGAGAAGTGGAGGGAGAAGGGGAGGAAGAAGGGGAGGGAGTGACAGAGAGGGAAGGAGAGGGAAGGTAGGGGCAGGGAGAGAGAAGGAAGAGAGGGGAGAAAGTGTGATAGAGAGGGAGGGAGGCAGAGAGAGGGAGGTGAGAGAGGGAGAGGGAGACAGAGAGAAAGAAGGAGGGAGAGAGATAGGGAGGGAGGGAGAGAGAAGGAGATAGTGAGAGAGATAGGAAGGAGAGAGTGAGAGAGGATGAGGGAGAGAGAGAGGGAGAGAGTGAATAGGAGAGGGGGTGGCCGGTGTAGTACTATATGGCATATTTATTTAGGGTTTCAGAAGTCATCAAAAGTGTTTTAAAATGCAAATTCCGTCGCTTAAAGCTTATTGCCATATCACGGTTGTCGTACGATCACCGAAGTTAAGCAACGTCGTGACTGGTCAGTACCCAGATGGGGGATTGCTTGAGAATATCAGATACTGTAAGTCTGTATGTACGGTTAGTGCAATGGATAACGGCTCGGAGAGCAGAGTTCCAATTCTGGTTGGGTTCATTATATTCATTTTACGGGCAAATACCCTTTGGAAAGGTAGAATCCATTTCTTCACCCTCTTCTTAGTTAAGTTAATTATTAGAATCTGTATCGGTAAAAATCATTATTAAAATCAATCTATCAGTTTCTTAACCTTTAAATGAAATGTAAAAACAATATCTGAGAATAGCCATTATATGAATAACTTTTTTTTTTTTAGGTTATGGTCGTTAGTAAAAGGAGCAGACCAGAATCTGAGTTACGTATTGAGAATTCCAGAACCAACTAGCCGCAGAAATTGAACAATCTGGCAAGTGCAGTAACAGACAGCTTTTTTCCCTCCCAGCTATGGGTTACTTAGTAAGACTTGTATCACCAAACCATTATTATCCCCATAAAAGTAACTTCTTACGATCTAAAATATATTCTGGCTTTAAATAACCTCCAAATAGTTAGTAGTCCGTAAAAAAGCGAATTAATCAATGATTTAAAAATAATTTAGTTCTTGTTAATCCTGTTTTCTTTATATCTTCCTCATTCCTAACATACTCTGTCCATAGAATTCTCAGTATTCATCAGTGGATCGACGTGTGTGCCGCTTCAAGTCTGTTCTTCATCTACAAGAAAAATGTCCATCATTGACTGGCGTATCGGAGGGTAGATGGTTACAGCGCTATTTTCTTGGCTTTTAATGAAATTTTCCTGTTTCTTACTACTTTGCTTAGCTTTTGGAAGGCATCTTTTCACTATTTATATTCACCTTCAGATTTCTGTTACGCGCTTTCTGTCATCTGTTACTACGCTAGCTCAATCAAGCATGGGTGACAGAACTAATTTCAACTCGGAACCTCACAGGGGTAAATTGCAGTTCAAGCCCTCAGTTTCTGATAAAAAATTCTCGAAACGTTCCATTTAGGTGTAAATGTACATGATTAATTCGAAAATAACAAGGAAATTTTGATAAAATCTCCCGTATTGGAGTTATCGACAATAAAACTTCGGACTCATTCGCGTTACGGTGGGTGAAGTTGAAATTAATTCTACACCCCTCAGGCTTGGGCAAACATTTTCAAATAGAGGCCGGACTACGAAAGTAGATTCAAGGTTATTTTTCGTTGGAGGTAATGCAACCATTTCTACTACAGAAGGTCATACGCATTAGCATCTGCTTTAGAAATGAGGAAAAGTCGTTATGCTTTTCTTTAGAGAAAAGATTTTTCTCATTATAATTATAAACAGTTGAATTCTGGATATAATATTATCACAAAAGATGTTTACACGTATGATCTTCCATAGTGAAAATCGACCAAGGTTTAAAATGATGAAAACTCTAACTTTAACGAACGGTGATAAAAGTCAATACACATTACGTTTAATCATTGTTATAGACTATTCTCATTCGATCGCAGAAGTTAAGCAGCATCCAGCTCGGTCAGTACTTAGATGGGGGACCGCGTGGGAACACTGAGTACTGTAAACAAACTCCTACAGTCCCAAATATGTTTCAGTTTTAGTAACCCACAATGAATTCTTCTTCTATGTCCCACATCTCTTCAGGACGTTGATGATCATGGCCCTCCACAATTTCCTGTCCTTTGTAGCTCTTAATACATTTACCCTTTTGATATCTCTACTAAGCCTTGATCCGCTATCCATTTACTCAAGCTCTTTCTTCTTCTTCTTCTTCTTCTATGTACCGTGTCCCTACAATACATAGATGCTCCACAGTTTCCTGTCCTTTGTAGTTCTTAGTAAATTCTGTCTTTTCGTTATCTCTTCTAAACCCTACACTACCATCCGTTTACACAAGCTCGTTAGACAGGTTATGCGCTGTTTTCTTCTAGACCTTTTGTGATACTATTTGTCGTTACCGCGGTAAAACGGAAGAAAGTTTTGTTAAAACATGAGAAAGTATTATGTACCGAGAGACATTGAAACGAGAAGGGTTAATACCGAAAACCCGTGGGAAGAATTGAGGATTTAATTCACATATGAATGACTTGAATGTCAAACAGTTTGAACAATGGAAATGTGACACAAACTTAGGGGGGCAATGTTGATTGACACACAGCTGCAAATGCAAGCTGTGAAGCAAAAATTAAATTTTTCGTAAACAACGAATTTGGAGTTGATTCCCCTGGTCGAAAGTTGAGTTGAAATACCAGGTGTTGGAGGATAAGCCATCCACGCTTACAGAGGAGATTTGGTAAGAGGTAAGAATATGAGAGTGTGGAAGAAAGGAATTTACCAGAATTATTGAATTCTCTTATTTCGCCAGTTTGGGCGAATGTCCATAAATACGAATGCGCGAAGCGAAGTCAGCAGAAGAGAGAAGAGAGACAGAAGCGATGGAGACGAGATCAGAGACAGAAGGGAGGCCCACGTGATTATCTTCCGACGAAAGCCTCCGACTTCCGCCTTGTGCTGAACTTTACCAAAACAGCAAACCAAGTACACAATAATATCACTTCCGATTTAGACGCAGGTTGGGCTGATAATTAATTGCATGCGAACTCTGATATTAATCAATTATTGTACGGAGGACTGATATAAAAACTGTATTTACTTGTTGTTTAATTTATTCGAGTGTTATTTTTTTTTCCTGTACGTCTTCGCCCTGCTTAGACCAGCCCTACACGAAGATAACAGCGACGATTCGATCTTGGCGTCCTTATGATCAAACTTAAATCACAACGTGGGATAGGGCAGGTCGCAGAAGCGATCTTCATCGATCAACCACGGTGTTGGAAATCTTGAACGACCGGAGAGGGTGTTGTACGATAACACTTTTACCTATAATATGCCCTGTGAGTGTCAAATTTTCCAAGCTCTCTTTCCTCCTAATATCTAGAAATTTTCACTGTCTCTTTCCGATGTTACGTAAAGTGTCCTTTTTGTTTCCATTTTCTCTAAAAGTTCGCCGTTTGTTCACATGTTCAGTTCACGATATTCTCAGCATCCTTCTGTAGAGTCTCTTTTCTGCTGCTTCAAGATTGTTTATCTGTTGTCTAACATCCACTGCCATATAGTGTCATCCTTTCCATACTTTATTCAAACACCTTCTAGATGTTTAAATTGTCGTACTTGCTTGATTTTGGTATTTCCAATTTGTAATTTGCATAAAAAAACAATCATGGTTACGAATGTGGTCATGTATGCGAGACTATGAGTGCACAAAAGAGAACAAAAGAAACCAAACAGAATTTAAATAAATTTGCCTCATGAAATTTGGCGTTCGATTCAGACCGACAATCGGGCTGCATATGGCTCGTGGACCGTAGTTTGACCTTGCTTGACCTAGATAAATGCCTGCTTGATTTTGAGGTCTTCAATAAGCTTGCCGAAAAAAAAAAATTCGTGGAATAAACTCTCCGTCTATTGGTGCTATCAACCAAATTCAAGTAAAACGCTACTTCTCTCAATTAATCATCTCAAAGACCCATTTCTACCTTCCATCAGAATGGCTGATGCTAACCTCCAAAGGATGAGTCGTTGCACCTCCTCGGACTTACATTCTCTGCTGACATGAAGTGGAAAAGATTATATTGAATTAACTGCTACGTCAGCTGCTACGAAAGTTGGTTCCCTGTGTCCTGCTAAACAATTTTTCGCTCCCGAATCTTACATATTTAGAAGTCTGCCATTCGTTTATCTTTAGAATATTGCTGTGACATATGGTCTGGGGCTCCTGGCTTATACTTTTTTCTTGATAAAATCCATAGAATAATCCATAAAGTTATTGGTCTTCACCTGGCATCTCAGCTTCAATCACTTTCCCATCACCATAATGTAGCTTTCCTGTGCTTTTTCTATAAATAATTTCATGGGAATTGTTTACTTTAGCGTACCTAGACTTTATGGATGCAAGCGCAGAATTATATTGGCAACAAGTTCTCAAGAACCTCTAGTTGAATTAGCTAAATGCAACCTTAAATTCCATGCTAACAGTTTCTTCACTCGCACTTCTCGCCTGTGGAAATCTCTTCCGGCTCCCTGCTTTCCCGGCAACTTTGATCTTCAAAATTGTAAATACAATATCAATCGTTATCTACTGTCGTCTTGATTCCTCTTCTTTTATTCTTCCCTCTCCTTAATAATGTTTCTCTTTTTTTTTCTTATTCTTTCACACTCAGTAACACCTTTGTGTCTTAGTGGCTTTGCTGCCTTTCTTGGTGTGATATGATTGAAAAAAAAGTTCAGTAAATATTCCTAATGAAGTTTTCAACGTTAGCATGATTGACAACATGATGATAACTTGATCGATTTGAGCAAGAACTCTAGCTTCGCGGCATCGCTCGCTCCAAAACATATATTCAACTGTCAATAAATAGCATAATTAAAAAAAAAAAAACAACCAAAAAACATCTTTTGGTCTACACATATTTCAAATCTTAATATTTGCCTATATATAAGAAAATTACGCCTTGAAGATGACAACTTGAAATTGTCGAAAGTATTTGGCATGTGTCTTCCATTTGACAACAACTCGAATATAAGGATCTTATTACTCAAGGAATTGATAGTAAGTTAATGTCTCATTAAGTCCTGTTAGCGAAGTGATTTCGTCATTAATAGCATTAACATTGCTATTATATATAGAAATATATATATATGTGTGTGTGTGTATGTGTGTGTGCGTGGCTCGCTTGCGTCTGTTTTATAATATTGATTTCCTTGTTGCAGACACAAGTTAACAAAATATTACGTTATACTTTACATATAACTGGTCGTGCAGGTTTCGAATCGTGACCTTGTACTAGATTTGAGTTGTACATATGTAAATTGAGCAAAAGAACAGTTAGCGGTAAATCCTTATTTAAAAAGGTACGCTTTTATTCTTTAGCTCTGATATGTGACTGGCCTTGAGCCCGACTTTATAAGTTTCGTAAATATTTGCTATAAACAAAGGGAAATGATGAAAGGGTAAACAAACAAACACACCCACTCATACCCACACGAGCATATATATGACACAGAAATAAATAAGAGAAGCTATGGGCCAATCATATCGAGATTTAAGAAGGTGGTTGCTCGATGGGTGTGCACCCCATAGCGCTGTCACGGATGGTGAAGGTTTAACATCAACCGCGTGCCGGTAATCGAAAGCTCTCATTGCATAACTCATAGAAGTTAGACCTCCTCGGCGTGAAGCACTCCTGTATCCGTTTACATTTCACTTTCGGGGCGAGGTGCTCGTGTACCTGCGAGATGATCGGCTTTTGTTTAGAACTGAAAAAAAATGCCGACGAACGTCGATGTTAGTATGGCCTAGAGAATTTGAACGTGTTTATCAACGAATTATTCAGCTTCTTACCCCAGAAGAAATGGTGTGTGTAATCTCAACATTTTGGATTCGAAAACATAGAACAAAATAAAGTAACACTTCAGGAATCACACACACACACACACACACACACACACACACACACACACACACACACACACACACACACATGTATATTATAATTATTTTAAAAAAAATATGATTCCATCGCTACATAAGAGTTCTCATGTTTCAAAAACAGGAGCTAAAAACTTCGATTTAATTATAAAAATTAAATTGAATTAAAGTATCCCTACTGCAGACTCTCGCTCAGGCACATTTGTGTTTGTTCAACATCCACAGAGCCAACCTGTGGTTTATACTGCAACTATGCTGAGCAGACCTTAGTTACAGTTTCTGGGAGAGAGCGTGTTATCCAGAATGATTAACAATCTGAACTATGCCAGCACACTCAAAATCTCGGTCACGATGACTTGTGACTTCGTGATAGCACAGATACAGACAGACACAAGGTTTGGGTCAACCGGTGGTATCGCTTTCAGGCACCTTCCTGACAAATCGACCATGGTGAGATTCGAAACCAGGTCCCACTCGGCTATATAACTTATTTTACTTTACTTTATTTTAACATTTCATTTGACTGATATCAATTATTATTATTATTAATTTATAATCGTGACGGTTACAATGCAATGGTGATGGTTTCGCTGCTGAAAATGACTAGACTGTGACAAATACATCCCTTGTGGGGGGTGGCTGTTAAATATTAGCAATCGAATAGATTGAACGCTGGGTCAACCAACACAAACTCACGTCATGTAATACTCTTCTGTTGTACTTACTGTTTAATATACGATATATCTGCAACACTTGTTTTGTTATTTCTTTAATCATTTACTTGGTTAAAATAGATAGATAGATAGATAGATAGATAGATAGATAGATAGTGTTGTGGTGTCCTCCCACTAAAGAGTCTATGTTCGATTCTTTCGCCTACTATAAGAATAGTAGGAGAGAAGGCCTTGGGGGAACAGTCGAATAGATTGAACGCTGGCTCCACCGACACACACTCACTAGTCGTGTAATACACTTCTGTTGTACTTACTGTTTAATATATGATATATCTGTAACACTTGTTTTGTTATTTCTTTAACCATTTGGTCACAGCATCTGGGCGACGAAGGATTCAAAGA